AAAGCCACAAGATCCAACACTGCAAACTCCACACAAAAAAAAACTAAAACGGCCGAGACAAAACCCCGATGGGACCTAAACCACCACTGTCACCAAAGTCACACCACCACCACCACCACTATCACCATCTCCACCACCACCATCTCCATCTCTACCACCACCATCTCCACCACCACCATCTCCACCACCACCATCTCCACCATCACCATCTCCACCACCACCATCACCACCACCACCGCCACCATCTCTACCACCACCACCACACAATGAACTGTCGCAAGCTCCTTCTACGGTAAATGCAGCCTCGAGACTACGCGAGCGGCTATCCCCCGGTTACAGCTGGCGGGACTCGCTGCTGTGATGCGAGAGACGATTTCTGCCGGACCTGTCTCAGCGTGTGGCGAGTGTGGTGTGTGTGGTGTGTGGCGAGTAGTGATGGTGTGGTGAGTAGTGATGGTGTGGTGAGTGCGTGGCGAGGGGTGAGTGTGTGGTGAGATCACGTGGTCTAGCTTGGGGGTGTAAGCGGGTGTTGAACTCGTATGGTCACAAGTCACCGCACAGCATCGTCACAGGGTGACAGAGGTGAGGGAGTGGTGAGGGTGAGAGAGGAGAGGTGACAGTAGAGAGGCGAAGTGGCGAGGGATAGGTGAGAGGGGTGAGGGAGAGACCTGGTGAGGGAGAGAGCTGGTGAGGAGGAGGTGGGAGGGCATCTCGGGTTTTAATAGACAATGGGGTGAGCCGGGTGAGGCGAGCGAGAAGCGAGAGAGGTGAGCGAGGTGAGGGGTGAAGGGTAAGGAGAGAGGGGGGGGGGGGTGAGCGAGGGGTGAGGGTGAAGTGAGCACGGGGTGAGGAGCCTTTGGGAGGTCGTCGCCTGGGTTAAATACGAACAGCGAGGGGTGGGTGGTGAGGGGGCAGGTGGTGAGTGGAGGGAGGTGGTGAGGGATTCCACCTCCCCTTTATAAGCCAGCACGATAGGGAAAGAGAATGTGGTGGTGAGGGTTGAGTGGTGAGGGTGAGTGGTGAGTGCGAGTGGTGAGTGCGAGTGGTGAGTGCGAGTGGTGAGTGCGAGTGGTGAGTGCGAGTGGTGAGTGCGAGTGGTGAGTGCATGCAGCTGAGATCTGTGCCCTCACTTCTCCTCACACCACTGGTTCTCCTTGCGAACCTGCAGCAGCACAACAGGAGAGCGATAAAGGCGTAAACTTCATACACGACTGCGCACAATTCTGAGTCACTTCTGCTTCGCCGTTACTTATTGCCAAGCATATGGACTTGGGCTGTTGTCATCTCATAGACTCCCTGGCACGTAATAAAATGCTATAGTGGCAGTGGGGGGGTCGCAAAATGCCGATGTATTACTAATAAACCCCAATGATCCGATCGAAATGAGGGATTGCGATCGGACCATTGGGGGGGCATGGGCCACCCCACCCCCACTGGCTCCGCCACTTGTGGTGGTGATTGTGAGCGCTAAGCTACTGTAGCACCGCACACCCCTCATCCACCCACCCCCTCTCACCCTCACCCACCCTCACCCCCATCTCTCCCTCACCCACCCACCCTCACCCCCCTCTCTCCCTCACCCACCCACCCTCACCCACCCACCCTCACCCCCCTCTCTCACCCACCCTCACCCCCCCTCTTTCCCTCACCCACCCACCCTCACCCCATCTCTCCCTCACCCACCCACCCACCCTCACCCCCCGCTCTCACCCACCCACCCTCACCCCCCTCTCTCACCCACCCTCACCCCCCTCTCTCACCCACCCACCCTCACCCCCATCTCTCCCTCACCCACCCACCCTCACCCCCCTCTCTCACCCACCCTCACCCCCCTCTTTCCCTCACCCACCCACCCTCACCCCATCTCTCCCTCACCCACCCACCCTCACCCCATCTCTCCCTCACCCACCCACCCTCACCCCATCTCTCCCTCACCCACCCACCCTCACCCCCCTCTTTCCCTCACCCCCATCTCTCCCTCACCCACCCACCCACCCTCACCCCCCTCTCTCTCTCACCCACCCACCCTCACCCCCCTCTCTCACCCACCCACCCTCACCCCCCCTCTTTCCCTCACCCACCCACCCACCCTCACCCCCATCTCTCCCTCAACCACCCACCCACCCTCACCCCCCGCTCTCACCCACCCACCCTCACCCCCCTCTCTCACCCACCCTCACCCCCCTCTCACCCACCCACCCTCACCCCCATCTCTCCCTCACCCACCCACACCCCCCTCTCTCACCCACCCTCACCCCCCTCTTTCCCTCACCCACCCACCCTCACCCCATCTCTCCCTCACCCACCCACCCTCACCCCATCTCTCCCTCACCCACCCACCCTCACCCCCATATCTCCCTCACCCACTCTCCGTTTATCCCTGGGAAGATAACTCCCAAGAGGCATGAGGCTCCCCCCTTTTCGACAACACGCGGGGAGCGAGCGAGAAACTTCAGCGACAGCACCCACGAGATTTGAGTCTTTCCAAAAAGGAATCTTTAATGAACAGAGAAGAACGACGACAATGACGACGATAATAATTACACTGAGCAGCCTAACGAGGTTAAACACTTTTAGCGAAGGGTGGGGGGGGGGGGTTGGTGGTCTGTGTGGGGATCACGCTACCACGTGGAGGGGGGGGGGTAGTTTCCAGGGGCTTTGTATACAGACAGCCTCGCTCTTCTCTCTCTTAAAAAGTGGAGTTTGTTTGAACTCCCCCCTGTTCTAGAGTGTAAGTGGCGTTTGTTCGCTTTTTCTCTCCCCCCTCTTTCCCCCTCCCCCTCTCTCCCCATCTACTTGAATCGTTTCGCCTCCACCGTGGAACTGTGGCCCAAAAGTCCCCGTCACAAAAGCCACCAACCAGCCAACAACCACCTCCCACATCTCCTCCCGAATGCCAAAAGCCACAAGATCCAACACTGCAAACTCCACACGAAAAAAAAACTAAAACGGCCGAGACAAAACCCCGATGGGACCTAAACCACCACTGTCACCAAAGTCACACCACCACCACCACTATCACCATCTCCACCACCACCACCACCACCATCTCCATCTCTACCACCACCATCTCCACCACCACCATCTCCATCTCCACCACCACCATCTCCACCATCACCATCTCCACCACCACCATCACCACCACCACCGCCACCATCTCTACCACCACCACCACACAATGAACTGTCGCAAGCTCCTTCTACGGTAAATGCAGCCTCGAGACTACGCGAGCGGCTATCCCCCGGTTACAGCTGGCGGGACTCGCTGCTGTGATGCGAGAGACGATTTCTGCCGGACCTGTCTCAGCGTGTGGCGAGTGTGGTGTGTGTGGTGTGTGGCGAGTAGTGATGGTGTGGTGAGTAGTGATGGTGTGGTGAGTGCGTGGCGACGGGTGAGTGAGTGTGTGGTGAGATCACGTGGTCTAGCTTGGGGGTGTAAGCGGGTGTTGAACTCGTATGGTCACAAGTCACCGCACAGCATCGTCACAGGGTGACAGAGGTGAGGGAGTGGTGAGGGTGAGAGAGGAGAGGTGACAGTAGAGAGACGAAGTGGCGAGGGATAGGTGAGAGGGGTGAGGGAGAGATCTGGTGAGGGAGAGAGCTGGTGAGGAGGAGGTGGGAGGGCATCTCGGGTTTTAATAGACAATGGGGTGAGCCGGGTGAGGTGAGCGAGAAGCGAGAGAGGTGAGCGAGGTGAGGGGTGAAGGGTAAGGAGAGAGGGGGGAAGGGTGAGCGAGGGGTGAGGGTGAAGTGAGCACGGGGTGAGGAGCATTTGGGAGGTCGTCGCCTGGGTTAAATACGAACAGCGAGGGGTGGGTGGTGAGGGGGCAGGTGGTGAGTGGAGGGAGGTGGTGAGGGGAGGGGTGGTGAGGGATTCCACCTCCCCTTTATAAGCCAGCACGATAGGGAAAGAGAATGTGGTGGTGAGGGTTGAGTGGTGAGGGTGAGTGGTGAGTGCGAGTGGTGAGTGCGAGTGGTGAGTGCGAGTGGTGAGTGCGAGTGGTGAGTGCGAGTGGTGAGTGCGAGTGGTGAGTGCGAGTGGTGAGTGCGAGTGGTGAGTGCGAGTGGTGAGTGCATGCAGCTGAGATCTGTGCCCTCACTTCTCCTCACACCACTGGTTCTCCTTGCGAACCTGCAGCAGCACAACAGGGGAGCGATAAAGGCGTAAACTTCATACACGACTGCGCACAATTCTGAGTCACTTCTGCTTCGCCGTAACTTATTGCCAAGTATATGGACTTGGGCTGTTGTCATCTCATAGACTCCCTGGCACGTAATAAAATGCTATACAGTGGCAGTGGGGGGTCGAAAAATGCCGATGTATTACTAATAAACCCCAATGATCCGATCGAAATGAGGGATTGCGATCGGACCATGGGGGGGGGGGGGGGCATAGGCCACCCCACCCCCACCCCCACTGGCTCCGCCACTTGTGGTGGTGATTGTGAGCGCTAAGCTACTGTAGCACCGCACACCCCTCATCCACCCACCCCCTCTCACCCACCCACCCTCACCCCCCTCTCTCACCCACCCACCCACCCTCACCCCTTCTCACCCACCCACCCTCACCCCCCTCTCACCCACCCACCCTCACCCCCCTCTTTCCCATACCCACCCACCCACCCTCACCCCCCTCTTTCCCTCACCCACCCACCCTCACCCCCATCTCTCCCTCACCCACCCACCCTCACCCCCCTCTTTCCCTCACCCACCCACCCTCACCCCCCTCTTTCCCTCACCCACCCACCCTCACCCCATCTCTCCCTCACCCACCCACCCTCACCCCCATCTCTCCCTCACCCACCCACCCTCACCCCATCTCTCCCTCACCCACCCACCCTCATCCCATCTCTCCCTCACCCACCCACCCTCACCCCCATATCTCCCTCACCCACTCTCCGTTTATCCCTGGGAAGATAACTCCCAAGAGGCATGAGGCTCCCCCCTTTTCGACAACACGCGGGGAGCGAGCGAGAAACTTCAGCGACAGCACCCACGAGATTTGAGTCTTTCCAAAAAGGAATCTTTAATGAACAGAGAAGAACGACGACAATGACGACGATAATAATTACACTGAGCAGCCTAACGAGGTTAAACACTTTTAGCGAAGGGTGGGGGGGCTGGCGGTCTGTGTGGGGATCACGCTACCACGTGGAGGGGGGGGGGGGGTAGTTTCCAGGGGCTGTGTGTACAGACAGCCTCGCTCTTCTCTCTTAAAAAGTGGAGTTTGTTTAAACTCCCCCCTCCCCCCTGTTCTAGAGTGTAAGTGGCGTTTGTTCGCTTTTTCTCTCCCCCTCTCTCCCCCCTCTTTCCCCCTCCCCCTCTCTCCCCATCTACTTGTTTCGTTTCGCCTCCACCGTGGAACTGTGGCCCAAAAGTCCGCGTCACAAAAGCCACCAACCAGCCAACAACCACCTCCCACATCTCCTCCCGAATGCCAAAAGCCACAAGATCCAACACTGCAAACTCAACACGAAAAAAAACTAAAACGGCCGAGACAAAACAACCCCGATGGGACCTAAACCACCACTGTCACCAAAGTCACACCACCACTATCACCATCTCCACCACCACCATCTCCATCTCTACCACCACCATCTCCACCATCACCATCTCCACCACCTCCACCACCACCATCTCCACCATCACCATCTCCACCACCTCCACCACCACCATCTCCACCACCACCATCTCTACCACCACCATCTCCATCTCTACCACCACCATCTCCACCATCACCATCTCCACCATCTCTACCACCACCACCACACAATGAACTGTCGCAAACTCCTTCTACGGTAAATGCAGCCTCGAGACTACGCGAGCGGCTATCCCCCGGTTACAGCTGGCGGGACTCGCTGCTGTGATGCAAGAGACGATTTCTGCCGGACCTGTCTCAGCGTGTGGCGAGTGTGGTGTGTGTGGTGTGTGGCGAGTAGTGATGGTGTGGTGAGTAGTGATGGTGTGGTGAGTGCGTGGCGAGGGGTGAGTGTGTGGTGAGATCACGTGGTCTAGCTTGGGGGTGTAAGCGGGTGTTGAACTCGTATAGTCACAAGTCACCGCACAGCATCGTCACAGGGTGACAGAGGTGAGGGAGTGGTGAGGGTGAGAGAGGAGAGGTGACAGTAGAGAGGCGAGGTGGCGAGGGATAGGTGAGAGGGGTGAGGGAGAGACCTGGTGAGGGAGAGAGCTGGTGAGGAGGTGGGAGGGCATCTCGGGTTTCAATAGACAATGGGGTGAGCCGGGTGAGGTGAGCGAGAAGCGAGAGAGGTGAGCGAGGTGAGGGGTGAAGGGTAAGGAGAGAGGGGGGAAGGGTGAGCGAGGGGTGAGGGTGAAGTGAGCACGGGGTGAGGAGCATTTGGGAGGTCGTCGCCTGGGTTAAATACGAACAGCGAGGGGTGGGTGGTGAGGGGAGGGAGGTGGTGAGGGGAGGGGTGGTGAGGGAGGGATTCCACCTCCCCCTTATAAGCCAGCACGATAGGGAAAGAGAATGTGGTGGTGAGGGTTGAGTGGTGAGGGTGAGTGCGAGTGTTGAGTGCGAGTGGTGAGTGCGAGTGGTGAGTGCGAGTGGTGAGTGCATGCAGCTGAGATCTGTGCCCTCACTTCTCCTCACACCACTGGTTCTCCTTGCGAACCTGCAGCAGCACAACAGGAGAGCGATAAACACGGAGCGGTTAGCGACACTCAGCTAAACACTAACCACTAAACTCTACTACACCATTAAACACTAACCACTAAACTCTACTAAACCACTAAACTCTACTAAACCATTAAACACTAATCACAAAACTCTACTAAACCATTAAACACTACTAAACCAATAAACACTAACCACTAAACTCTAAGCCACTAAACTCTACTAAACCATTAAATACTAATCACAAAACTCTACTAAACCATTAAACACTAACCACTAAACTCCAATAGTAGGGTTTTTCCCCTTTTTTCTGGCAACAAAACTGAAACCTTTTTACAAGGATTCATGTCTGCATTAACCACGATACCTGCAGTTAAAATGCAAACAAAAAACATACTATGATAATATATATACAAAAACCTACTATGATAACATATATTATCATAGTAGGTTTTTTGTTTGCATTTTAACTGCAGGTATTGTGGTTAATGCAGTGACATGAATCCTTGTAAAAAGGTTTCAGTTTTGTTGCCAGAAAAAAGGGGAAAAACCCTATTATTACATTTTGGTACTGGCAAAGGAGGTCTAATGATGTAGATGCTCACCCCGAGCCCTCATTACTTTGGTAGTGCATTGTCTTCGAGCTGTAAGCCTTTTGGCGTCACCTGGTCGAGCACCAATTGGGTCGAGGCTTAAAAGAAAGCCGTCCCTTGGTGTGGACCAGTTTCAAGGACAATGCATATATCATAGTAGGTTTTTTGTTTGCATTTTAACTGCAGGTATTGTGGTTAATGCAGACACGAATCCTCGTAAAAAGGTTTCAGTTTTGTTGCCAGAAAAAAGGGGAAAAACCCAATTATTAAAATTTGGTACTGGCAAAGGAGGTCTAATGATGTAGACACTAAACTCTACTAAACCATTAAACACTAAACTCTACTAAACCACTAAACATTTAACTCTACTAAACCACTAAACTCTACTAAACCACTAAACACTAACCACTAAACTCTACTAAACCACTAAACTCTACTAAACCACTAAACTCTACTAAACCACTAAACTCTACTAAACCACTAAACTCTAAACCACTAAACTCTACTAAACCACTAAACTCTACTAAACCACTAAATCCACCACACCCACACGTTTATCTTTCCCCGTGCCTCTCCCAGTCTCTCTCCCCGTCTCTCTGTACCTCCATTTCCCTCTGTATATCTCCGCATGTTTCTCTCTCTTCCCGCGTCTCTCTATACCTCCCCGTATCTCCCTCTACATCTCTCCCCGCGTCTCTCTCCCCCTCACACCTGCTGTTCCTCCTCCTCCGTGAAGTCGTTCTTGATGTTGAACGTCTTGCGGATCTCCTCTGGGGTCTTGCCCTTGATCATGTTGGCCACAGTCTTGCAGGTGACGTCCAGAAGACCCTTGATGTCCAGGTAGTTAGCAGCCTGAGTTCACAACCACACCAGGCTTTTAGAAAAACACCATAGAGTCCCATAGAGAACCCTTGATGTCCAGGTAGTTAGCGGCCTGAGTTCACAACCACACCGGGATATTAGAAATACACCATAGAGAAACACAGAGAACCATAGACACACAGTCCCATAGAGACCCTTGATGTCCAGTTAGCAACCAAAGTTCACAAACCACACCAGGCTATTATAAAAACACCAGAGATAGTGACACAGACCCATTGAGATACATAGAGACCCATAGAGACACATCGAGACAGAGACCCATAGAGATAGAGACACAGAGGCACAGAAACCCATAGTGACACACAAAGATACACAGACACAGGGAGATCCATACATAAAGATCCATTACAGATAGAGACCCATAGAAACACAAAGATAGATATATAGATAGATACAGAGACCCATAGAGATACAAAGAGATAAAGAAACAGACACAGGGAGATCCATACATATAGATCCATACAGACAGAAAGCCATCGACACACAGATATAGAGACCCATAGAGATACATAGAGACACAGGGAGATCAGTACATAGAGACCCACATAGATACACAGAGACTCCTACTAAAACGTAACTATGTCGTATGTTAATAGATGAGCTACTGTTCAGAAGAGACCTGGCCATCACCACGTAGTAATAGCAGCTAAACAAAGTGGATATCATCATTATCATCGTACGTTGCTACACGGGGGATCTTTGTTCAAGTCTACAGCGTCTCTACACTGCCCTCTGCTGCCTGCAATGTGGATAACGCAGGAGGACTTCACAACTCTCTACACTGCCCTCTGCTGCCTGCAACGTGGATAAGAAGGACTTCACAACTCTGGCTGTCGCCTGATGAGGCTATTTGTAATTACTGGCGAAACGTCACAGTACTCAAGATTGTAAATGTAGTGGCTTGGCTCTCCAACACACAACCGGTGTGCTATGCTGGTATATTACACCACACTACAATACACTACACTTTACACTACACTAACAACACTACTATACACTACTATACTACTATACACTACACTAATAACACTACACTATATACTGCACTACTATACACTCCAACATATAACACTACACTATACACTACTATACACTAGTGCTGTACTAGTAACGAATTGGCACGTTCTGTTTACGTGACACTAAACCTTTCTAATCGGCTGTGTCGGGTATTGGTGGGTTTAACGACACAACATTCATATATTTAGGATGACATTGGTCGCAAAAGCCTGCTACTACATGTTAAAGCGGACAAGCAAGATTGCGATAGAATAAAACGACAACATTGAAAGGGGTATAGAGCAGCAAGCCGAGTAACTCCTTAGCACGCGTGGCAATTTCGATTCCATAATGCAGAAGGAAAAAGCAACCGGAGGACAACCCAGAGAGAAAAATCCACACAGAGAGAGACGCAGACTCCAATTATACAGCAGCAGGCATCGTCAGGGTCACGGGATCGAACACACGACCTCCTGTATACCAGGTGAGGGAGTTAACATCTCATAGCCACTATGGTGATGATGAGAGAGATACAGACTCTAAATATACAGCTGCAGCCGGCATCAGGGTCGGGATCAAATCCACAACCTCAACAAATAACATAGCAGGCATCGTCAGGGTCAGGGAACGAACCCCAGATGACCTCCTGCGTACCAGGCGAGGTAGTCAACATCTCTCATCATCAACAAAGTAGATATGAGATGTTGACTACCTAGCCTGGTACGCAAGAGTTTGTGGGTTCGATCCCGTGACCTTGGAAGATGTCGACTACCTCGCCTAGCATGCAGGTCGTGGGCGTGACACTGCGAAACGTTGACTACCTTGACTGGTTACGCAGGAGGTCGCGGGCATGACCCTGCAAGATGTTAACTACCTCGCCTGGCACGCAGGTGATTGTGGGTTCGATCCCCGTGACCCTGCGAGATGTCGACTACCTCGCCTGGCACGCGGGGCGAGCGGGAGGGTAGACACTCACCAGGATCAGTTCGAACAGCGTACCCTGGTCCACCTTGAGAAACTCCTGATCCCACACGGGGATGTCGTCGGTGCGTTTCTCTTTGTTCTCGTCGTCCTCCGGTGGAGGCGGGTCATCCTTGTGGTGAGTGCACCACTGGATCACCTGGTGAGGTGGTGAGAGACACGAGAGAGACGACATGGCGAGGAGGTGGGGTGAGGAGGTGAGAGAGGGAGAGAGACACGAGAGAGAACGTGGTAAAGAGGTGAGAGAGGAGGTGGAAGTGAGAGATACGAGAGAGACAACGTGGTGAGGAGGTGGGTTGAGGTGGTGAGAGGGGAGGTCAGGGTGTGGCGAGGAGGTGGTGAGGTGAGGTGGGGGGTAAGGAGGTGGTGAGAGGGGAGGTGAGGGTGTAGTGAGGAGGTGGGGTGAGGTTAGACAGTGCAGCGAGGAAATGGGGTGGTGAGGAGGTGGTGAGGAGGAGGGGTGAGGTGGTGTGTGACGGGGGAGACACGAGAGTTAAGATCCTTGTGGGAGTGCACCACTGGATCACCTGGTGCAGAGGTGGCGAGGGTGAGGAGGTGGTGACAAGGTGAGTGAGGCAAGTGTGCGGATGACGATGTGACGGTGTGGTGATGACATGGTGGTGATGATGTGGTGGTGGTCTCTCACCTTCTTGAGGATGGCAGCGTTGACGTTGGGCAGAGGGACCGGGTCCTCATCACCCTCCTCGTCCATACCCAGATCTAAGTGTCAGGGATACAAACACAGAGATAAATACAACCGCCATTCGCCACTAAGTGGCGGTGATATCACTATGGCGCTTGTCCCAGGCTATGTGCACGTTGGGGTCACGTGAAGTGTGGAAGGATTTGTGAGCTCCTCAGAAAATCCAGCCTGGTTAAACCCAGGATGGATCGTAGGCAGGCCAGCCTAAATGTTTCTAACCGGCGAAGATGTTCCATTGGGGGGGGTCCACGTTTTGAAGCATAGAGAAGGGAGGGCATGACTGTGGCCAAGAAGCCCTGAAGCTTTGTGTGGCACGACAGACCAGGTAGCTTCCACAAAGCGTTATTCAGCTGATGAAAAGATAATGCCGCTCGACTGACTCGGAGTGAGACCTCTGCTGTCAAAGCGGAGCTAGTCATAAGCACACTGCCCAGGTATGGGAAACTCTCCATTCTCTCCACAACTGCCATATCACCAATTGGGAGTTGTGGTGGTGGAGTGTCCGATGGTACAAAATACCCAGGCAGGTGCTTAGTTTTGGTGGGGCTGATGGTCAGGCCCCACACACTCCAGGTTCAGCAGCAGCACCTCCAACCCCTCCTTTGAGTGAGCAGCAATCACCAAATCATCGGCATACATAACGTGGTTGACCAATAGGGAGCCATCCCTTGACCGCACCCAGGCATCGATCAGCCTCCCATTATATCTGTACAAGATGAAGAGTCCTCAGGTACAGCCATCGATTGTCACAAACTACTTGGTCGAAATAGATGTTAAATAATGTGTGAGCCAGAGGACATTCCTGTCGCACCCCAAGGTGAACAGGTAATAGCTCCGACTCCCAGCCACATAGTTTTACCCGGGCCTGTCCACCATCATGAAGGTTCTTCATGATTGTGAGCAGGGAGTCAGGGACTCTGAAAGCACGAAGAACCCAGAAGCCCAGGCCTACTGATGGTATCATAGTGCCTTAACCATGTCTGACACACACTGAGATACAAAAACACTCACAAACAGAGGTACGGTGTGTGTGTATGGTGAGTGTGGTCAGTGCGTGTATGGTGTGTGATGTATGTGTGGCGAGCGTGTGATGAGCACGTGGTGAGTGCTTGGTGCGAGTGTGGTGAGCGCCGGTGGCGAGCGCGTGGTGCGAGTGTGGTGAGCATGAGCTCGTGTGTGGCGAGCGTGTGTCTCACCCTCCAGCATGGTCTTGATGGTCACCGATTGCTTTGCGATCTCCACGTCCACCTCAAAGATCTCTCCATCGGAGCTCTGCAGCTTAATGCTCGACATGGCTACACACACAGACAAAGATCCCCCGTGTAGCCTTAACAGACTGCAGGGGCAAGTGCTGTTAACGAGCGCCTATGAAGGCCGGCACTGCACAAGAGGGGGTGGGTGGCCAGCACCACGCCCGGCCGCCTTTGTCTCCCCAGTGGCGATGTTTAGACACCGCGCCAGGTACTCATTATGAGGGTGAGTCGACCTAGGAGAAGGACCCGGGACCGGTTAAGATAATCGTCACCGGTGGTGGCCGTGAGCGGGAATCGAACCCGGCTCTCTACATTCATAACACTAAGGAGGATCACTGTTGGTAAATGACATGAGCATTAAACAAAGATTTAAGATCTTAAACTTATTAAGATTTAAGGTAAAACGTTACTAACCCCAACACACAAGGCCTTGTCAGTATTACCACTTTTTTTTCTTGGATCTTTCGGTAAAGTCACGTAGAATGGAAATAAAATAATACAAATAAAAATATTTTTTATTTATTATGCTTCATTTTTATTATTTTATTTCCATTCTACGTGACTTTACCGAAAGAACCAAGAATATGAATCCCTGCAGTGACGATAGCTTTAAATCGAAAAGTATTAACACTCTTTTACTCATACATACATGCGCAACACCCCGTCTATTTAACCAAGCTCGCACAGTTACGCGAACGTCGCACAAATGAGTTAAGGTGTAAAACGGTGTAAATTTAATTTTTGAACGTTACTAACCACAACAACAATATCAACATTAACAATAACATCACACACACACAGGCCCTGAAGCGGGCCCCAGGCCGCAAACCGCCGATTCGAACACCCCTTCCCCTCTCACTCCCCTCTGTCAACCGAATCTCCCCACAATTTACAAACAACAAAAACGTTGACGTTGGAAGCGTTAACACGAAGCGGCGAAAGAATGAAAAAAAAAAATCATCAAACGAAGTAAATAGATTTTAAACTGTTAAACTCCGACGGTTGTTTTTTTTCCTTAACAAAAAGCATGAAAAGCCTGAGCTAGGCCGCAACCCAACCAACCCCTCCCAGCGATCCCCCCCCCCCGCCCCCTTAACATTAAACAAACTTTAAAAAAAACAACGACTGTTACGCAAACTGAAGCACGGCGAGTGGACCAACAACCACACGAAATTAACTTTAACATCCCGCTTTGATTGTTTAATGCTCTTAACAAACAAGGCCCGAAAGCCGGAAAAGCCTGAGCTAGGCCGCAACAAAAACAACCCCTCCCATAGCGATCCTCCCTTACAAAATTAAACAAACTTTAACAACAATGACCGTTACGCAAACCGAAGCATCGCGAGTGCAACAACAACCACGCGAAATGTATTTAAACCTCCCGTTATTTGTTTAATGTTCATAACAAACAAGGCCCGAAAGGCTGCGCTAGGCCGCAGCCGCCGTACCCTCAAACAACCACCAAGCAAAACTCTCCCCCCCCCCCCAACGATCCTCCCTCAACATTAAACAAACTTTAACATCGACGAACGTCCACACAAAACAACAACCGCACGAAGTTAACTTTAATCTCCCGTAGTTTCTACGTTTTATTGTGCTCTTAACCAAGGCCTCAAAAAGCCTGCGTTAGGCCGCAGCCGCCGTATCCTTAAACAACCACCAACCCAAACCGCGATCCTCATCGCCACATTAAAAAACGCAAACAACTTCAACAACGAACGTTACCGCCAACTGGTGAAGTGCGCGGCGAGTGGAACCACCACGCAACTATAAACTTTAACCTCGCGTTGTTATTTTGCAACATAAACAAACAAAAAGCCTGAACGCCTTCGCTAGGCAGGCCGCAACCAAAACAACTACTAGGCATCTCCCCTCGCCAATCGAACACGCAACTTTAACAACGAACGCCACGCAAACTGGTTAAGTACGGCGAGCGAACAACAATAACAACGCAACTAAAAATAACTTTAACCCCCTCCCCCCGTTGTTTTTCCTCTTAAATACAAAAACAATCTCGAAAGCCTACGCTAGGCCGCAACAACAATCGCTCGGCTATCCCCCCCGCCGTCCCTTACCATTAAAACCACACACAAAACAACTTAAAACAATACACAAAACCCAAAGTACGGCGAGTGGAACAACAACCACGCAAAATAACTGACACCTCGCACGTTGTTTGTATGTCTGCTTTCCTCTTAACAAACAAAAACAACCACCCCAGCCCCCCGCTCCTCACCATTAAAACCACAACAACCACAACAACCAAACAACTCGCGGGCGACACTAACCCCCAGCACCTGCCGCACCTTCGTAACGCCCACGAAACAAGACGAGAGGCTTCTCACCACCACCACAGCAACAGCAGCGGCGGCAGCGGCGGCTGTTGACGTTTAAACAAAAGGCAACGCCGAAGCTCGCGAGGCGACAGCTGTCGACAGTCAGCAAATGGCCTCCGACGCCGCGACAACGCGAGCCGGAACCGGAAACCCGGGGGGGGGGAGGGCCCTCCAATGCCCCCCCCCCACCGGCCCCCCCCCCCCCGGCCCCCCCCCACCGCCCCCCCCCCCCCCGGCCCCCCCCCCCACCGGCCCCCCCCCCCCCCCCCCCCCCCACCGGCCCCCCCCCCCACCGGCCCCCCCCCCCCCCCCCCCCACCGGCCCCCCCCCCCCCACCGGCCCCCCCCCCCCCCCCCCCCCCCCAGAACCGCCCGCCCCCCCCCCCCCCGCCCCCCCCCCCCCCCCGGCCCCCCCCCCCCACCCGCCCCCGCCCCCCCCCCCACCGGCCCCCCCCCCCCCCACCGGCCCCCCCCCCACCGGCCCCCACCCACCGGACCCCCGCCCCGCCCACCTGCCCCCCGCCCCGCCCACCTGGCCCCCACCGGGGCCCACATCCTTTGAAGTCGCCGGGTTAACCGGAAACGGGCTTTGATTGACAGGCGGCGTGCACGTGGGTCTCTGTGTATCTCTATGGGTCTCTGTGTATCTCTATGGGTCTCTGTGTATCTCTATGGGTCTCTGTGTATCTCTATGGGTCTCTGTGTATCTCTATGGGTCTCTGTGGCTATGGGTCTCTTAAAGTGTGGGTCTCGACGTATCTCTGTGGGTCTCTATGGGTTTCTCCATGTGGGTCTCTACATATCTCTCTATTGGTCTCTATGTGTGTATCTCTATGGGTCTCTATGTATCTCTGTGGGTATCTTATGTGTATCTCTATGGGTCTCTGTGTATATTTGTGGGTCTCTATGTGTGTGCATATATTTATTTGTGGGAGCGGTAGTGTAGCGGTTAACGTGCTCCGCTATGAACTCGGCGACACGGGTTCGATTCCCGCTCACGGCCAACACCAGTGACAATTATCTAAACCGGACCCGGGCCTCCCCTAGGTCGACTCAGCCTCAAATGAGTACCTGGTGCAGTGTGTAAACATCGCCACTAGGGAGACAAAGGGGGTCGGGCGTGGTGCTGGCCACCCATCCCCTCGTGTACCGTTCCGGCCTTCATAGGTGCTCGCTAACAGCACTTGCCCCTAGTCTGTTAAGGCTATATGGGGGATCTTTGTCTATATTTCTATGGGTCTCTATGTGGGGAGCAGTGGTGCAATGGTTAGCGCTACGAACCCGGCGACCTGGGTTCGATTCCTGCTTACGGCCACCAACACCACCAGGGAGATTATCGAACTGGGCCTCCCCCAGGGCGACTCAGCCTCAAATAAGTACCTGGTGCCATGGTGTGCAAACATCACCACTGGGAGAGACAAAGGCGGCCGGGCGTGGTGCTGGCCACCCACCCCATCTGTGTGTGCCACAGTGCCGGTAGCCTTCATAGGCGCTGCTGCTGCTACTCGCTAACACCACTTGCCCCTAGTCTGTTACAGGCTATACGGGGGATCTTTGTCTATCTCGATGGGTCTGTGTATATCTCTGTGGGTCTCTATGGGTATCTGTGTATCTTTGAGGTTTTGTAGGTTTTTATGGATATCTCTGGGTCTGTGTGTATCTCTGTGGGTCTCTATGGATATTTGTGGGTGTATCTATGAGTATGTGTATCTCTATGGATCTCTATGGGTGTCTATTGATCACACAAACACACGGAGACAAGCACAGACAGACACAGAGAGACGCGTGTTCATAGAAACGGTTTAATAATTTGGCAGTATACACAGCGCAGAGAGACACGGGGGGGAGGGTAGACATAGACAGATGGGAGAGACAGAGACACGGGGAAAGAGACACGAGGAGGAGACAAAGACACAGGGAGAGAGACAGAGGAGAGAGACAAGAGGAGACAGGAGAGAGAAAGAGAGACAGTGAGACAGAGGTGACAGAGACATGGGGATATAGACATTGAAACTACACGAGTTAAAAAAAACCACGACGGCCAGTGTCAGGCACATGTCACTAAGCAACAACGAAGAGCCACTACCAACAGTAAACAGCAGCAGCAGGCAGTGTGGGGGTTACAATGCAGGTGTGGAGTCTCACTCCATACACACTGGGCCACTACTACACACAGAGACACACACACGCTGTGTGTATAGTATACTGTGTGTGTGTGTAGTACACTGTGTGTCACACGCTGTGTGTGTGTGTATAGTATACTGTGTGTATAGTATACTGTGTGTGTAGTACACTGTGTAACACGCTGTGTGTGTGTGTGTGTACACTGTGCATGTACAAAACTGTGTATAGTATATAGTACTGTGTGTATAGCACTGTGTGTGTATAGTATCTATGTAGTCTTGTAAGCCACTGATGTACCCACGCTGTGTATGGAAGTACTAAACGAGCGGAGCCGCACTTCCTGGCCCCCTTCCACTGCCAGCGGCCCTGACGTCTCCCACAGAGTGGGGATTTCGGAGTCCGTGTCGGTGTAGACCAGCAGATTAAACGAACCTGGGGATACACACAGATAGAGATTTTTTTTATATATATAGCGTTGACAAAGGAGGCAGAGACTTCTTTGTAGGCGACACCGTTTATTTACTCTGACGTCAGAGAACATCCCTAACACAGAGAGGTAACGGACTCTCCCACCCGACAGCCTAGAGGATGATACGTCCTCATACTTAGTGTGCCCTCCTCACACTATACTCTGCCTAACGGGTACCGCCACTGGGCCGTTCGGACCTGGCACTGACAAGGGCCGGAAGTCCCAGGGCACTATCTCGATGTCTTGAGTCTTGAGGTGTGTGCGGACCGACTCGTGCTGGGAGAGCTGCTGCTGCCCTTTATATCCTTCCTCTCCCAAGCGTCCTGTCTCGAGAGGGTCTGGATCCAACCTTTGACCCCCCCCAGCTCCCTCCCTCAGTGGGCTCTGGCCCCCTCACCCCTGGTCAACGGTTATTGTAGTCGTGACTCATACAATACTGCTATGCAGGTAAGTATACATGTTGCGCGTAACAATTCCGCTACATATATATATACACGCACACACACTAGCAGCAAGTGCCCGGCTTTGCCCTGGGGGGAAAAATAAAAATATATTTCAAAACTTGTCTTCTCTTGAAAAACATAACAGAAACACACACAAATACGAATCACTAGCCCCGGCCAATTCTTTACAACCCTTGGGCTACACACATTTCAAACCTTTTTAAAACAGTCCGCCTCCAGCAGCAGAGACCACGCTTTCCAACCTGATGATGGACGCTTGTGCTGCACCCGAAACGTCGTGATTTATTTTAGTTGTTTTCATTTTTGTTTTATTTTATTTAATTTTTACCTAAGTGACTTTACCGCAAAAACCAAAGAGTATTTGATGATTTTCTTAGCTTAGATTGCACCGGGGGCTTCGTCTGTTGTATGTGTACCTTGTTAAAACGTAAACAAAATAGCTTGTTACTTAAAAGTGTTACAAGGATAGGCATACACACACAGGCAGAGAGACAGACAAAGCATGACTTTTACAGGTCACAAGGGCAAAAACAAAGTGAGTGTTCGTCCGGGGCTGTTTGTTGTATCTGTGTACTTTGTTAAAACGTAAACCAAAAAGTTTGTCAGTTTAAAGTGTTACAAGGATAGGCGTGTGCAGACAGACAAAATTTTAGTTTTAGAGGTGAGATAGACACAGAGATACACAGAGATACACAGTCACAGAGTCCAGTCACAGCACGTTAAGCGAACCTACGGAGACACACACATGGCGTTTATATATATACATTATATATAGATGAGTAGTAGTACTAGTTAGTAGTACTACGAGTACTAGTTAGTAATACTTACAGGTCTCTTGTAGTAGTGGTAAGAATGTGACTGTGGCTGTGATCTGCACTATCACCGCCTTCATTTCGTCGTTAATTTCCTTGAGTGACTTCTCCCTCGGAGGTCTGGGGGCAGAGACAGAGAGAGACAGAGATAGTTAGACATAGAGCGAGATAGATATACATATAGAGACAGAGATACAAAGAGAGAGATAGTGAGAGAGGCAGTAAGATAGATAGACACAGAGAGACATCTCCATATATATAAAAGGCAAATTTGTGATTATGTGTGTCTGTTCAAAATGTTTAGCGCACTTCCCGACATGCAACAAACTTGAAATTTGCCTTTTTTTTGGGGGGGGGGGGGGGGGGGGGGGCGGGAGCTCAATAATGCATTTATTTTTTGCACGGCAAGTGGAGCAGTGACGTAAAATCTGTCACGTGACCCTCGCACGTGGAAGCGAAACGCATTGTAGTGTAGCGGGTAGCGCTACGCTGCGCTACGAACCCAGCGACCCGAGTTCGATTCCCGCTCACGGCCACCGCCGGTGACAATTATTTCAACCGCTCCTGGGCCTCCCCCTAGGTCGACTCAGCCTCAAACGAGTAACTGGTGTGTTGTGTGTGAACATCGCCACTGGGGCGACAAAGGCGGCCGGGCGTGGTGGATCCAAGTCCCGGGCGAAGCCGGGGGTAGTACAGCTAGTACTGTATATACACAGTACAGTAAAACCTTGGGATCGCGAGTAGCTTGGTCTGCGAGTGTTTGTGCGAGACTAGAAACATTTTAAAATTAATATTAATTTGATAAAACGAGCGAGGGTCTTGCAGTACGGGTAGTAGTACGTGTAGACGCTTTGTACTGCCGAGCATCACGTGATCACAACCGATATACGAGTGCTTTGGATTACGGGCACGTTTCCGGGGACGAATTATGCTCGCAATCCCGAGGTTTCACTGTACAGAGAGATAGTGAGGGAGGCAGTGAGCTACATAGAGACACAGAGAGACATTTACAGAGATGGATATAGAGACAGGCAGAGCTTTTCAGTTTCAGTTTTTTTTATTTTGGTATAGCCCTGTGAGCCATTCGGCTCTTGAATCGGGTGCAACCGAAACAAACAAAAAACACAAACAATAAAACATCTTAAAGTGACTATGTGTGACTGTGCAAACAGAAAATCCGTGAAAAAAACGGCAAAATATTCCTGATAAAAGCACCGTACACCAACGCTGTGTGCAAAAAAATCCCAGTGGGATGCAAGTCAAACAACAAAAACAACAACAACCACAAGACAACTTAGATTAAGGCCATCAGTCTAACTCCGTCCTACAAGAGATATTTATAGAGAGAGGACACAGAGAGAGATTTATATTGACAGACACACAGAGATATATGGAGACAGAGAGACATACAGAGGCAGAAAGAGAGCGACAGAGACACAGAGAGAGACAGAGGCACAGGAAGGTGCGGTGATGTGATGTAGTGGTGAGGTATTGAGCGAGTGGTGAGTGATTTGAGTGAGTGGTGATTATTGAGTGAGTGGTGATGATTGAGTGAGTGGTGGTGATTGAGTGAGTGGTGATGATTGAGTGAGTAATTGAGTGGGTGGTGAGTGATTTGAGTGAGTAGTGAGTGATTGAGTGAGTGGTGATGATTGAGTGAGTGGTGATGATTGAGCGAGTGGTGATGATTGAGTGAGTGGTGAGTTATTGAGTGATTGAGTGAGTGGTGATGATTGAGTGAGTGGTGATGATTGAGTGAGTAATTGAGTGGGTGGTGAGTGATTTGAGTGAGTAGTGAGTGATTGAGTGAGTGGTGATGATTGAGTGAGTGGTGATGATTGAGTGAGTGGTGATGATTGAGTGAGTGGTGAGTGATTGAGTGAGTGGTGATGATGAGTAAGTGGTGAGTATTGGTGAGGAGTAGTGGTGAGTTGTATTTGTGAGTAGTATTGGTGAGTATTGGGGAGTTGTATTGGTGAGTAGTAGTGGTGAGTAGTAGTGGTGAGTAGTAGTGGTGAGTAGTAGCGGTGAGTGGTGAGTATTGGTGAGTGGTAGTGGTGAGTAGTAGTGGTGAGTATTAGTGAGTGGTAGTGGTGAGTGAGTAGTAGTGGTGAGCATTGGTGAGTGGTAGTGGTGAGTGGTAGTGGTGAGTGGTAGTGGTGAGTAGTAGTGGTGAGTAGTAGTAGTGGTGAGTAGTAGTAGTGGTGAGTAGTAGTGGTGAGTGGTGAGTAGTAGTGGTGAGTAGTAGTGGCGAGTAGTAGTGGTGAGTAGTGGTACCCTCCCGGTGTGAGGGCAGTCTTGTCACAGTGGATGGTGTTGAGTGGTAGTGGTGAGTGAGTATTGGTGAGTGGTAGTGGTGAGTAGTAGAAGTAGTGGTGGTGAGTATTGGTACCCTCCCGGTGTGAGGGCAGTCTTGTCACAGTGGATGTCAAACTGCCACCGCTCCAGCACAGCGCCAGAGGTCACCTCGGCCAGCACCAGAACCACCTTCTGGACTGTACAGCTCACCAGCCACTCTACACGCACAAAGACAAAGATCCCCCGTGGAGCCTTCACAGATTGGAGGGGCAAGTGCTGGTAGCGAGCAGCACCTATGAAGGCCGGCACGGCACACGAGGGGGGTGGGTGGCCAGCACCACGCCCGGCCGCCTTTGTCTCCCCAATGACGAAGTTTACACACCGCACCAGGTACTCATTTGAGGCTTAGTCGACCTAGGGGAAGCCCGGGACCGGTTCAGATAATCGTCACTGGTGTTGGCCGTGAGCGGGAATCGAACCTGGGTCGCCAGGTTCACAGCGCAGCGTGCTAACCGCTACACTACACAGATACATATATACACACACACACAGATACATAGATACACACACATACATAGATAAACACAGAGATACACACACACATACATAGATACACACAAACAGATACATAGATACACACAGAGATACAACAACAACAACAAACGCCATTCGCCACTAAGTGGTGGTGACGTCACCACGACGCTCTTGTGCCAGGCTATGTGCACCCTGAGGCCATGTGAAGTGTTGAACGCCCGCTGGCAGGAGGTCATGGGGCAGACCCAGCAGGTACCACGGGTCGACTGACTGAGATGACTGGCTGATGCACCACCTGTGCCCCCTACTGTGCCAACCCGCTGTGCTTCAGCCAACCGGCGCTCTGCTCGTTGTTGTGAGCATTGCTCCTCCGCCCTCCGTTGTTGTTGGAGGGCGACCACCTCAAACTGCCCAGTAGCGTCCTTCACGAGCCTCCTCCACAGAGGCCGATCTTGACACCGCTGGTACCAGTCATCGGCAAGTCCACTCAGCTCCACGTCCTCCTGTACCACATCACTCCATCTCTTCTCTAGCCCGTGCCGCGCCCATTCAGCCCCCTCAATCCGGCCAAACAAAAGCTGTTTCGGCATGCGGTGGCTGGGCATGCGGGCTACATGACCCAGCCATCGCAGCCTTGCCCGCCGGAGGAGCTCACCGATGGGACCTTGCCCAGATCTTTCAAGGATTTGTGAGCTCCTCACACAATCCAGTCTGGTTAAACCCAGGATGGATCGTAGGCAGGCCAGCCTAAATGTTTCTAACCGGCGAAGATGTTCCATTAGGGGGGTCCACGTTTCGCAAGCGTAGAGAAGGGAGGGAATGACCGTGGCCGAGAAGACCTGAAGCTTAGTGCGAAGCGACAGACCAGGTAGCTTCCACACAGCGTTACACAACCGATGAAAAGATATTGCCGCTCGACTGATTCGGAGTGAGACCTCTGCTGTTAAACTGGAGCCGGTCATAAGCACACTGCCCAGGTATGGGAAACTCTCCACTATCTCCACAACTGCCCCATCACCGATTGGGAGTTGTGGGGGTGGAGTGTCCGATGGTACAAAATACCCAGGCAGGTGCTTAGTTTTGGTGGGGCTGATGGTAAGGCCCCACCTCTTAGTGGCATGCTCCAGTCTCAGCAGCAGCGTCTCCAACTCCTCCTCTGAATGAGCAGCTATTACCAAATCATCAGCATACATAACGTGGTTGAGCAATAGGGAGCCATCCCTTGACCGCACTCGGGCATCGATTAGCCTCCCATTATATCTGTACCATATGGAGATTCCCCCGGTACAGCTATTGAAGGCTTCACGAACTACGTGGTCAAAATAGATGTTAAATAATGTAGGAGCCAGAGGACATCCCTGTCGCACCCCAAAGTGTACAGGGAATGGCTCTGACTCCCGGCAACGTAGTTTTAACCGGGCCCGCTCACCATCATGAAGGTCCTTAATGATCGTGAGCAGAGGGTCAGGTACTCCAAAAGCACGAAGAACAACCCAGGCCTACTGATGGTATCATAGGCCTTGACCAGGTCAATAAAGCAGAGATGTAGGTGTTGTTGGAATTCCCTACACCTCTGCTGTAGCAGACGGACAGAAAATGGCATCTGTGCAGGACCTGCCCTTTCCTGAAACCGCATTGGGGCTCCGCAAGCCTCTCCTCAGTGTGCCTGGCAAGGCAATGTTGAATAATCCTTGCCAGGACCTTTCCCGGCACACTTAGGAGTGAGATGCCCCTGTAGTTGTTACAGTCTGTGTGGTCCCCCTTCTTAAAAAGGGGGACCACCAGGGCATTCTTCCAATCCTGCGGAACCCGTCCAGTGGTCCAGACTGTTGTTATGATGTCATATAGGGCAGTCTGCACAAACGCCACCCTCCCTCAGCATTTCACTTGGGAGATCATCTCTGCCCACTGCCTTTCCTGGTCTCAGACTCCGGATCGCCTTCAGTACTTCCTCAACAGATGGCACATCAGCCAGCCACTCACAGGGGGTGACTTCTTCCAATATTTGAGGGACCGCAGCCTCAGCAGGCTCATCCTCACTTTGTGCCACGATGTTTTCCTGGCTGAGGGATTTTCCCTCCCCCAGGACCTCACAGAAATGCTCAGCAAATCTGCAAACCTGTTCCTGGGGGTCGGAGATTGTACCACCGTTTTTTTCCCTAATGATGGTAATAGGTGTGGCGCTGCAGATTACTTTTTGATGGAGTTAAATAGAGATTTGTGATCACGGGCCACTGAGGCAGACTCCATCTCCTCAGCAACCCACGATCACCACCCATCCTTGCAGCGCCTCACGGCTTTCCGAACCTCCGAGCGAAGGCTGCGGTAAGCCTCCTCATTCTCTGACGTGGGATTCTGTAGCCGATGACAGTGGCCCTGTCACTTTTTCTCAGCCAACCTGAACACCTCCTCTGTCAGCCAGGGTCTCTGCGGAGGTCTGGACCGCGTACCCAAAGCAGCCATTGCAGCTGCATGAGTCACAGTCCTAAACCTCGCCCATTTACCCTCGACATCAGGAGTCGGGGACGATGCCAATCCCAGCCGCAAGCGATGATGAAATTCTCGCTTGCAACTTTCATCAGATAACTGAGACCAGGCCACTTTAGGTTGGAATGGGGTCCTGGGTGTACACCCACCACCGGAGTGGAAGAATGGCAGGCGCATCTTACAGATGACTAGTCGATGGTCAGAGGGCAGATCAGCTCCACGGTAGGTCCTGGTTTCAAAGACATGGGCTCGCATCCGCTGGTCCGTCACTATGTAGTCCAGCAGATGTTCTTGCTTGGACCCAGCATGCATCCATGATGTTGTGTGGATGCGCCGATGCCGGAACAGCGTGTTGGTAATTACAAGCCCATGGGCTGCACAAAAATCTAGCAACCTCCTACCGTTGTTATTGAGCTGATCTGGCCCATGCCCTCCAATCACTCCAGACCAGGTGCCAGCATCATGACCAACTAGGGCATTGAAGTCACCCAACAAGATGACTCTATCCCGAGGGGCCACTTTAGCCAGCACCTGTGACAGGAGGTCATAGAAGGCATCTGACTCATCGGCTTTGCCTGCGTCCCACCACGGATTTTCATCTTTGGTGGGGGCATAAGTAACCACGACCACCATTCCTCGCCTCCGGTTGATGGGAAGGCGAGCCCAAAGTAGCCTGGGGCTTACAGCTTCCCACACCTCACCGCCACGCTCAGACGCCCCCTTCATTCTTTTGTTCAAAAGAAGAGCCACACCCTGTTGTTTGGCAGTCTGCTGCCCCGAGTAGAGGACTGTCCACCCCTCATGGTGGCAGGAGCCAGAACCGGTCCACCGGACCTCCTGAATGCCACATAGATCCAGGCGGTACTGGTCCAGCTCCCGACAGAGGAGTGGCAGCCTCTCCTGCGCAGTGAGCGTTCGAACATTCCACGTGGCCACCCGTAGTTGTTTTTTGTTGTTTCTGGAGGAGCCCCGAGGGTAGATATTCAATCTCCTGGCTCCGTCAATTGAGGTTTGGCCAGGAGACATCATAGACGCCTGGCCCCCCGGGGCCTCCGGCACAAGCTTATTGGTTATATACTTAATTCGCGGTTTAGTGGTAATTAATTGAAGGTGGAGGGGTTACCAGCCCCTCGCACCCGTCCAGAGCCCCCGTTTAGCCCCTGTGGTGGACACAGAAATACACACACATACATAGACACACACGCAGATACATAGATACACACAGAGATACACACACATACATAGATGCACACAGATACATAGAACCAGAACCACCTTCTGTACTATACAGCTCACCAGCCACTCTACACACACACATATAGATACAACAACAACCGCAATTCGCCACTAAGTGGCGGTGATGTCACCACAACGCTTGTGCCAGGTTATGTGCACCTTGAGGCCACACACACAGATACACACCACACCGATACATAGATATACATCTGTATAATAGTATAGTGTACAGTGTATAGTAGTGTAGTGCATAGTAGTGTAAAGTGTATAGTAGTGTAGTGTATTGTGTATAGTAGTGTACAGTGTATAGTAGTGTATAGTAGTGTATTGTAGTGTATAGTAGTGTATAGTGTATAGTAGTGTATAGTGTTGTACCCTTCAGCTGAGTGGTCACGCTCGTCAGGTAAGACACCAGTTTAGGGTCCGTGCTGGTGTAGAGGCTCATGCCGTACTTGACAGCTCTCTGGAACGTCTCCACTGGGTACACTCCTCGCTGGTACAGAATCGAGCTGAGCCCATAGACTACACACACACACAGGCATACATGCATTAGAGATACATAGAGATATCCATAGATATACATAGAGACACACAGACATGCATAGATATAGACATGTTTAGAGATACATTGAGATATCCATAGAGATACAGACATGCATAGAGATGCATTGAGATATGCATAGAGATACATAGTGGGTAGGTGAGTAGTGGTGAGTAGTAGTCGTGGTGAGTCGTGAGTGGTGAGTAGTGGTAGTGAGTGATCGTGCTGAGTGAGTGGTGGTGAGTAGTAGCGAGTGGTAATGGTGAGTAGTGGTGAGTGGTAGTGGTGAGTGAGTGGTGAGTGAGTGGTAGTGGTGAGTTAGTGGTGAGTGGTAGTGGTGAGTGGTAGAGGTGAGTGAGTGGTAGTGGTGAGTGAGTGGTGAGTGAGTGGTAGTGGTGAGTTAGTGGTGAGTGGTAGTGGTGAGTGAGTGGTAGAGGTGAGTGAGTGGTAGTGGTGAGTGAGTGGTAGTGGTGAGTTAGTGGTGAGTGGTAGTGGTGAGTGAGTGGTAGAGGTGAGTGAGTGGTAGTGGTAAGTGGTAGTGGTGAGTAGGGGTGAGTGAGCAGTAGTGGTGAGTAGTAGTGACTAAGTGGTGAGTAAGTGGTGAGTCGTGGTGAGTGGTAGTAGTGGTGAGTAGTAGTAGTGGTGAGTGGTGGTGAGTAGTGGTGAGTAGTAGTGGTGAGTAAGTGGTGAGTCGTGGTGAGTAGTAGTAGTGGTGAGTGAGTGGTGAGTAGTAGTGACTAAGTGGTGAGTCGTGGTGAGTAGTAGTAGTGGTGAGTGGTGGTGAGTAGTGGTGAGTAGTAGTGGTGAGTAGTGGTGAGTAGTAGTGGTGAGTGAGTGGTGAGTCGTGGTGAGTGGTGGTGAGTAGTAGTAGTAGTGGTGAGTGAGTGGTGAGTGAGTGGTGAGTCGTGGTGAGTAGTAGTGACTAAGTGGTGAGTAAGTGGTGAGTGGTGGTGAGTAGTGGTGAGTAGTAGTGGTGAGTAAGTGGTGAGTCGTGGTGAGTAGTGGTGAGTGAGTGGTGAGTAGTAGTGACTAAGTGGTGAGTCGTGGTGAGTAGTAGTAGTGGTGAGTGGTGGTGAGTAGTGGTGAGTAGTAGTGGTGACTAAGTGGTGAGTAGTAGTGGTGAGTGAGTGGTGAGTCGTGGTGAGTGGTGGTGAGTAGTAGTAGTGGTGAGTGAGTGGTGAGTAGTGGTGAGTGAGTGGTGAGTCGTGGTGAGTAGTAGTGACTAAGTGGTGAGTGGTGGTGAGTAGTGGTGAGTAGTAGTGGTGAGTGAGTGGTGAGTAGTAGTGACTAAGTGGTGAGTGAGTGGTGAGTAAGTGGTGAGTCGTGGTGAGCCTTACAGAAATATTCGGCAACAATTTCGGAGCTGCCACGCAGCGTGATGCCCTCTCGCGTCACCACTCCGGCCATCGCTTCTCTCGCCGCCTCTGTCCGTGTCTCTGTGTCTCACTCTGTGTCTCACTCTGTCTCTCTGTGTCTCACTGTGTCTCTCTGTGTCTCACTATGTGTCTCACTCTGTCTCTCTGTGTCTCACTGTGTCTCTCTGTGTCTCACTATGTGTCTGTCTCCGTGTCTCTCTGTCTGTGTCTCTCTGTCTCTCTCTGTCTCTCTGTATCTCTCTGTGTCTGTCTCTGTGTCTCTCTCTGTCTCCGTGTGTCTCTGTGTCTCTCTCTGTCTTTGTGTCTCTCTCTGTGTCTCTGTCTCTCTGTGTGTCTGTGTGTGTCTCTCTCTCTCTGTGTCTCCCTGTCTCTCTCTGTGTGTCTCTCTCTCTGTGTCTCTCCCTGTCTCTGTGTCTCTCTCTCCGTGTGTCTCTCTGTCTTTGTGTCTCTGTCTCTCTCTCTGTGTCTCTGTGTGTCTCTCTCTCTGTCTCCGTGTGTCTCTCCCTGTCTCTCTCTCTCTGTGTGTGTCTCTCTCTGTGTCTCTCTGTCTCCGTGTGTCTCCGTGTGTCTCTCTCTGTCTTTGTGTCTCCGTCTGCGAGTTTCTTTCAAATCCTTTTCCGTTGGATTCAAACCGCGCGGCCGTTAGGAATCGACCCGTCGCGAATCTATAAACGAATCGCTTTACGGTATCGACTCGAGCAGAATCTGCATCGTTGTTTAAAAAACCCGAGGAGAAATCCGAAATTCTGTGAAGCTCTTTAGTACCGCGGATTGTACCCCCCACCCCCCTACACCCATCGACGACGTTGAGTCGACGTGGTCGGTGCTGAGGGGGCGAGAGCGAGGCTGGAATCGATTTCACTTATGAGGCGAATCGATTCCGCACCCTCGCGTTTTAATTTTCGGAGCTGAATCGATGTCGGGTCACGTGGGCGACGCAAAAAAAAGATGTCGGCAAAATCGATCCGACAGGAATCGGGACAGAAATTTACGACAAATCGATTCCCTGCAAGCGGATAATCATGACAACAGCGTTTAGAGATTTTAAATGTTGATCGCAAACTAAAGTGAGTAAAGTGAACCTACAAAGTTAATAACAACAACGTTCGTTGTTGTGTTTGAATGGTGTTGGTTTTATCTCTCACGCTATTTGGACATTCCGACATTCCGCGTGCGTCCGTGAGCGATGACGTCATCGCGCATGGTTAAGGAAGTTGCGTGATGACGCCATTGCGTACGGCAAAAAGGTTGGTGAGTTGGTGCGTGATGACGTCGCCGCGTACGGCAAAAGGTTGGTGAGTTGGTGCGTGACGACGTCATCGCGTACGGCAAAGATTGGTGAGTTGGTGCGTGACGACGTCATCGCGTACGGCAAAGATTGGTGAGTTGGTGCGTGACGACGTCATCGCGTACGGCAGAGGGGGTGAATTGGTGCGTGATGACGTCATCGCGTACGGCAAAGGTTTGTGAGTGGGTGCGTGACGACGTCATCGCGTACGGCAAAGGTTGGTGAGTTGGTGCGTGACGACGTCATTGCGTACGGCAATGGTTGTCGAATTGTTTATATATTTATTATTTTATTGCTTCCCTTCTACGTGACTTTACCGAAAGAACCAAGAAAAATGGATATATATTATTACATAATGTTTTTGTCTGCATTTTGACTGCAGTTATTGTGGTTAATGCAGGTTTCAGTTTTGCCAGAAAAAAAGGGGGAAAACCCTATTATTACATCAAAGCTGACAAGCAAATCATCTGGGGACAGTGAAATGCCCTCGATTATGGAGACCAATGCTGAGGTCGTCTTGCCCGTGAATGGAAGCAAGGTATCAGACAGAAGTCGGGCCTGAACGGTACTTTCTACAAACAAAATCAGAAAGGGTTTTATTCGCCATGAAAGTTCACACCGACACGGAATTTACTTTGGCAGGATGGTGCATACATTCAGCATATAGGAATCTAAAATCTTAAATAAGTTTTAAACAAGTCTTACTATAATAATAAGGGTTAAAAGTCTAACTAAGACCAAGGGGCTGAAGTATATAAAATTGAATAAATATCGAATATAAAATAGCTTTAAGATATAATTTAAAAATAAAAAATACAAATAGGTTAACATAGTTAATATCGGCAAGGTGTCATTATGTAGATGAAATGTTAAAATCAGTGTAAGCCCTTGGCCTTGTTTAACAGGCCAGCAGCAAATGGGAAGAAACTGTTTTTATGGCGTGAGGTTTTGGTCCTGATGGACCGAAGCCTTCTGCCGGAGGGGAGTGAAACAGAGAGTGTCCAGGGTGGGAGGAATCGGCCACAATCTTCCTCGCTCGCCTCATGGTCCTTGTCGTGTGCAGGTTCTCGAGGGTTGGTACCCCCATGGGTTCCCCCCCTTATCACCAGTGATAGCGAATGTTTTCATGGAGAAATTTGAAACAGATTCCATCCATAATTCATAATAAAGGTTTTTGTGTTAGATCGCGTTTATTTATAAATGTGTCGTAACCCTCCACCACCCGACACGGCCAATCAGCAAAAAAAGTGTCACGTTGACAAAAGACAAATAATTCACTACTTTAGTGTTTTTTGTCAACGTGACACTTTTTTTTGCTGATTGGCCGTGTCGGGTGGTGGAGGGTTACGACACATTTATAAATAAACGCCATCTAACCCAAAAACCTTTATTATGAATAATATTGGTCGCGAAAGCCTACGTGTTAAGATGCCATCCAGACATCCACCCTACGTCCTTCCTTGTGGAAGAGATATGTGGATGACACTTTCGTCATTTGGCCACATGGTCTGCCAGCGCTCAACCAATTTCTCAACCACATCAAACCCATACACCCACCCATCAAATTCACCATGGAAGTGGAGAAGGACGGTAAGCTACCATTCCTGGATGTTTTGTTTGAGAAGAGACCTGACGGCTCAATGGGACACTCTGTCTACAGGAAAGCCACCCACACAGATTGCTATCTGAAACCTGATTCCCACCACCACCCGGCCCAGAAGAATTCCCTCATCAAAACACTACACCATAGGGCCCACTGCATTTCCGACCAACACCACCTAGCCAGTAAACTGGAACACGTACGCCAGGCCCTCAAGATGAATGGGTACTCACGACCGCATTATTCGCAAAGCTGTTTCTCCAACCATGGAGAAACAACCCCCTGAAGCCAATCAAAGCCAACACTTTACCATACATTGTAGGCGTTAAACTTGATTTGGTGCTTTCGTGACTGCAGGAATTACTCTTTGGATTGTTTCGGTAAAGTCACGTAGAAATAAGTAATAATGAAATAAAATTACATAATAGCATGCGACGTTTCGATTGCAACGCAAGCAATCATCATCAGGTATAGAAGAGCTAAATTTAATAGAGAGAGGAAACACAGAGAGATGGAGAAGCACATCATATTGGACAAGATTTAGTAACATTTTGGAAACAATATAATGCAGCACAGAGGGTCGGTCAAAACACAATTAACGCATAGTCTGGCTGTTTAAATTATTTCAAAGATTGCTAAATTATAGGTTAAGGGTGATAGAGTACAGATCACAGAAACATATACAGACATCCAAGCAGAGAGAGCCAGCACAGAGACACACAGAGAGAGACATACACATGGGACAGAGCTAAATTTAAGAGAGAGAGAGGAAACACAGAGAGATGGAGAAGGATGTCAAATTGAACAAGATTTAGTAAAATTTGGAAACAATAAGGTTAAGAGTGATAGAGTACAGATCACAGAAACATATACAGACATCCAAGCAGAGAGAGCCAGCACAGAGACACACAGAGAGAGACATACACATGGGACAGAGCTAAATTTAAGAGAGAGAGGAAACAGAGAGATGGAGAAGCATATCACTCTTAACCTATAATTTAGCAATCTTTGAAATAACTTAATCAGCCAGACTATGCGTTAATTGTGTTTTGACCGACCCTCTGTGCTGCATTATATTGTAGGTGTTATCAAAAATATTTCCAAAATCTTAAACAAACACAAGATCCAGGTCCGATTCAATACAGTACACAAAATCCGTGATCTAATCCCATCCATCAAAGGTTTGCTCATGAAGCCACCCAGATCTGTAAACATAGACGCAACTTCAACCGAGAAGATGGATATAACTTGAGAAATCATTGGTAGGACGTTATTAACCGGTAAAGCAGGGGTCGGGAACCTTTTTGACTAAGAGAGCCATGAAAGCAAAACATTTGGAAATTTATTTCAGTGAGAGCCATATAATATATTTTAAAAGTGAATTCAACTAAATGTCAGTATAATAAGCCTCTGAGTTTATTCTTTTAAATAATGTTGTTATAACACTCACCATTAATGCGACTTCTGGTGCTGCATGGATTTGCTGATGTCTTTGTAGTCGGGTTGGTACTTTGTAGTCGGGTTGGTACTTGGTGAGGTTAAGCTTCATGCAAGCGTTGAGGCTTTCATCCGTTAAACGTGATCGTAGGTTGGACTTGATGTTTTTAAGATGTGAGAATGACTGCTCACATGCATACGTAGATCCAAACATGGTCAATACAGCAATACTCACACGCTGCAGTGTGTGGTATGTGACAGGAAGCGCGTTCCAAGTTTTGAGAATCAGCTGGTCTTCGGGTTGGAGTTTTTTCATTTCTGTCCACATGTGCTTGCTCGCCAACTCCGCTTTCTGTCGTGTGATTCTTTCCAAATCTTCATTCAGTGACTTGAACTTATTCACCCACATGTCTGAGGCCTTCAGGTCAGCCACTTCTGCTTCAAAATCTCTGACGGAGACACCAGGGATGTAATTCAGGTCGGCTGTGTTCAGTGAACACTCGTTTGGATGGGTGATGAACTTAAAAAGACGAGTGTGCTCACGAAATTCTCCAAAGCGTGCTTTGAAGGACTGTAGGAGACTGGATGTGCAGCCAGCTAGCTGGTGGAGATCAAGGTTTTGAATGGGCTCACTTGCTGTGCATGCATCTTTAAATTGGCTCAGTTTTTCAAAATGTAGTAAACGACCTGTTTCAAGATCCGTGATGAAAAGCTCCAGCTTGTTTTCAAAAGCAAATACAGCTTGTTGAAGGGATAACACTGTATTTCCAATGCCTTGCATTTTCACGTTGAGCTGGTTCAGATGTTCAG